AGTGTCGATCATTATATTAAAGTATCGACACGTTCAATATATCTGGTAGGACTTTACCGGTATTGTCTTCTAGTGACCGGTTTTATTATATTTTTACCTATTATATTGATATGGATCGATACATTTTTAATTTGGATTGACACAAACCGACAAGTTAAGTTTGCCGGTTGCCAAATTTTTTAATATTTCTTCATGACTTAAACCTACTACATTATTATTACTCAATATTTCCGGTAGCGCTAAATCGAATTTGTTAAATATCTTTTAATGTATCCAGTAACGCCGTATATTAACACGCATTTCCTGAGACAATCCAAAACATAAGGGAGGGGATCTAACCTAGGCAAAGGCCATAAAATGTCACAACCTTTGCCGTTAGACTAAACTTCTTATTTGGTTAAATAATGAACTAAATGATATTTAATAGATACTCTATTTAAATTTAATGGAAAAAATTAAAACACTTGTTTAATGGAAAAAATTAAAACACTTGTTTAATGGAAAATTGAGATTAAGATTTTCTCTTCTTTTTAATTGTATTTGCAAGGGCTGGGGACTTGGGAAGAACTGGATACTACATCTAAAAGGGGGGAAAACTTTAGTGTTTGAGTTGTTTAGACGGGTTGGATCTGAACTCTCGGTTTATCAAAAAAATGGTTAGGGATTGACGGATGAGATCTAGAGAGAGCGATGGAGACAGCGCTAGATGGACACACGGACCACACGGCGGCTCGGACCTTGACACTTGACGGTGCAGTGAAGTGTGTTCAAGGCCGACTCCCGTCGTCTAGTCTCTTGGAAAAATTTTAGAATCTTGAATACATTTCCATAGCTAGCACAAGGGTTTCATCCCTAGAACAGTTTCATCGTCTACGAAATCTCCAGAAGCTTATCCTTTATGACAACATAATAGCCGGTGGACTTGAGTTCCTCGTTGAAGCTGGCCTTGATTCGCTTCCAGACCTCGACTTGTCCAACAATCAGATTCAATATATTGAGGATCTTGCCCCGCTTGCTCAGCTTAAGCTTGTTTCGTTTGACCTTTATCATTGTTTAGTTACTAGAGTTGAGGATTATCGTTCTATAGTTTTTGGTTTGATTAAATCGTTGAAATATTTGGATAAAATGGACGCTGAGGGGAATGAAAGGCCGGAATTGGATGAGGAGGATGAAGATGAAGAGGATCCAGGGAGTGGGGAAATCGATGGAGAGGATCGGCCCAACAGAATGAATAATGGGCATAGTAAATAAGAGGAATGTACTGCTGATGACGATAAAGATGATGATGATGACAGTGATGCTGATGAAGAAGAGACTGAAATTGATAAAAGAGTAAATATGTAGAACCATGAGGCCAACATGTTTCGTATAAGCTTTGATCTCGTTTCTCAAAATTCTGTCCGACTCGCTTTTCTCGCGTTCGGTTCAAATTCAAATTTCTCTCATGCATCCCTCTGCGATTATCTCCAAAGGTAGCAGTAGTAATAATAATGATAATAATCTTTATTTTGATTTTCGATCTCGCAAGTGCTGTATGTAAACACTTTACTGAATTCTTTCACTTTGCTTTAGATGTCAGGTTTTGAAACGATTTCATTATCTTTTAGATACCGTTTGGTTAAGAACGATTCGTGGTTTGATTTCCTTATTTACTAGTTCATTAAATGGCTTTTGTGTCGAGTTTTGAGAATTTCTTTTGCTTTCCTTTCTGATCTGAATATTCCTCCAATGAACTATTCTAGATCTATTGTTTATATTTGATTTTAAAAGAAATTTCTCGATGAGGTTTATGGAAATTTCTTCATGGCATTGATTTTTCGCACCTCTGCCTTCAGATCTATTTGATTTGTTGAATTTGAGTATTGATGTATATTTTAGTTTTCTTTGTTTTTTGGTTGGATAGAAGATGATATATGTGAATTTGCATTATATCCAAGGATCAACATGTAGAGAAGAGAAATGGGACTGACATTCACAAAGCTTTTCAGCCGGCTTTTTGCCAAGAAGGAGATGCGAATTTTGATGGTGGGCCTTGATGCAGCTGGTAAGACTACTATCTTGTACAAGCTCAACCTTGGAGAGATTATCACCACTATTACCACCATCAGTGAGCACTCTTATTCCAAATCCTTATTCTTTTTTTTAATCTATGGTTTAGGTGATTATTTCTAAATTTATATTAGCACTGTGTCAATTCTTCTATTCCTATGATTGTTTGCCCTTCATTTGGAAAATGTATGTCGTCAATTTTCATGTACTCCATGGCAAAGACTAGCTTGCAAAGCAGGTAACACCTCTCTCTATTTCTTGTCTTTCTTTTTAGAATTTAGTGTTTTTGGTCCTATGGGACTTATAGTTGCACCGAGTGCTGGATTTCATTCCAAGATGGGATTACTTGGCAAGTTGAGCTTGTGATCCAATAAGATGCCTAACTATGTTTATTCCATCATTAATGTTTTTGTAAGAGCTTTGAACTTGAAAGTCCTCTAAACAAAACTTTTACTAACCAAATGCAACCAAAATAATCTCTACAGCCAAAGTGATGAAATAGCATGAATATGCAAAGATCTTTCTTGGGTGTAATCATAAGATAGTAAGAAACACTGTTTGATTAATCTATATAGTTCCCTATCATGCTCTAAGATCAAGGACTTGGCAGAAATCTGTCGTTGGGTTTGAAAAACTAGAAACTGCTTACTAGCTACCTAGATTCATATAAGAACTTATAATCATAGGAACTGAAACTGATTTTCCCCAGCATTGGAATGGATGGGAGTTTTAGGTCCATATAGTGTGATGAACTATAGTTTATCTAAACTTTTTGTGCCCCTCTTTCCTTTTCTTGTTTTGTCCATCTGGCACATGAAAATAAATTTATGTTTTGTCTATTATACAGTACAAGTATAGGGGCATAAAATTATTATAGATGATGATCAAGATGACGAGGATGACGATGATGAGAATGCTTCAGATGAGGAAATTCATGATGATGATGACGATGGAGAGGAAGAAGAAGAAGATGTTGTGGAAGGTCATGAGATTGGGGGTAGTGATGACGAGGGGAAAGTATAAACAAGTGTTTTAATTTTTCCATTAAATTTAAATAGTGTATCTATTAAATGTCATTTAGTTCATTATTTAACCAAATAAAGAGCTTGGTTTAATGGAAAAGGTTCTGCCATTCCATAGCCTTTGCCTAGGTTTGATTCCTCTCCCTTGTGTTTCTCCTTTTAATAGTTGCTTTAAACAAACACCAATTAGAGAGTGACACGTGTCATTCTTTGATTGGTCATATATAAATTAATATAAATAATATTAATCATAAAATTATTTATTTTATTTTTAAAAATTCTGACGTGGCAGAGCCATGTCAGCATGATATCCGACATGGACATGTCACGTTAGCTTCCACGCCATGTGTGCTTGCTCCGTCAGCATTTGGTGTTGACCGTTAGTTGACTGACGGTTTTCATCCATCAAGGGTGATTTTTGACCCAAAGTTAAATGTTCAGTGGTTAAATGTTCAAAAAAAATAATGCAAACAAGTTTGACAATACTGTCAAACGTTAGGGTTATTTTGTTGTATTATTCTTATATATATATATATATATATTAAAATTGATTTAATTTTTCCTCAACTTTTAAAATAAATGCAATTCAGTCCATTTTTATATTAATTTTAGTTTCATATTTTACAATTATTTTGGATTTGGTCCCTACATGTGTAATTTATTTAAATTTAAATTTGTAATTTCATATTTGTTCAATTTAGTTCTTAAAATTATATTTGTATAAGAAATATGCCCATACTTATTTATATTTTTTTAATTTACTTCAATCTAGTCGTTAAAATTATATTTGTATATGAAATTGGCAATACTTATTTATATTTTGATTTGATGGCTCATACATTCATGTTGTTTGATTTATTTAAATTTTTGTATGTAATTTCTTGTTTGTTCAATTTAGTCTTTAAAATTATATTTTTATTAAAATTGACTCATAATTATTTATATTTTTTTGTAATTTACTCCAAATCATATACAATTAAAAATTAAAATTCGTCGATCATGAAAGAAGAAAAATAATTAACCCAAAAATGACCCGACCTGAAGTCAATTCGTACCTGGTAAGATCCGACTTGAATTTTCTCTGTCAATAATGTGACCCGATCTGAATTCCATCCGACCTGAATTCCATCCGAACTTGAATTAACCTTGAATTTAACTAATTTGGAACTGAACAGTTTTGACCTGAATTGGGATCAATCCGAACATAATCCGATACGAACCTGAACTGAATCTGATGGTAAAATCAACCTGAAAATGACCCGAATTGATTTGACTTGAAACAGACCTGATCTGAGTTAAACCAACAAATTGATCTGACACAACCTATATTTGATTTGACATGACTTAAGAGGAACCTACTGAAACTTGAACGATAACCTGATTTTACCGCCCTAATTTTGTCTTACTGGAGAAAGTCCACCTTATAGAAATCTTGAATTCAATGATGATTATAGGTGAAGAAAATAAGTGAAATTCATCTTTTAAAAATTTTAAATTTTCATATATTTTAAAAATATTTATATTTTATATTGATTATTTGATTCGTCTTCTAAATTTTATAAATTTAATATTTTTTAAAATTTTATAAATTTATCCTCTAACATAAAATGTACATCTTTATTTAAATATGCATAATTCTACCTCACAAACAGCTTTTGACAATGATTTTGGCTATGAGCGTCTCCCACGCAGAAAATACATGAATGCGTAAGTGGCTAAAGTTGACAATAATGACGACTGAGATACGAATAGACAGAGAGAGGCAGCTGAGAATAATTGTTTTTTTTCAAAACAATAAAATAAATTATTATAAATTTAAGATAATTTTTTTATATTTATTAATAATTTAACTTTACTTTTAAAATTTTATAAGTTTATCACTATTAAAATTTTAGAAATTTCCCGTCTCGGTCCTTGAGTTGAGGGAAAGTAATGTGAATGAAGTTGCAACAATGGAATGAGATGGTGCTTCTCCTAAAGAGCTTATTTTATGAGCTTATCCGTGAGAGCTTTACGCAATCCCATGCACTGTTCATCGTCCCTACCCGCAAAGTAAAGATACAAAACCACATCTTATCTAACCTAGTGCCGACTGCCGACAATTGAATCAACATACTTCCAGGCAGCTTCCGACGCATACACAGCGCAGATCTCGAAAACCACTGTTTTTTACCCAGGGAACAAGATGAACATGGTGACAGAAACTTGGATAAAGTAGGTAGAGTAAAATATGTGGCTGCTTCCATTGTGCTTAGTTCGTTACATTTCTTTTTCTCTTCCGTTTTCTCTGCAATTATGCGAATATGTTCCTTGTGTTTCTTTGATCAATTTTAGTTGTTTCGATTCGTTTGAACAGTGGATAAATGAATCAACTAATCCAAGTAAGGTTTCGGAAGAAGCTCAAAAGCACTTCAAATCTGCCTCATGGGATTGCGTTCAAGCCAATGTGAAACTCGAGGTATATTCTATTCATTGTGTTTCTTCGATTAATTTAGATTTTTTTTCTATGATCCGGTTGTGGATCATCTCCAAGATTGGAACTTGGACTCTCTTTAACAGAAATTGTTTACGATCAATCAAAATATATGTTTACCAAAGGAAAAGAAATCAATATATAAGAGTCTTTTTGGTACAAACTACAAAGGAGGTTTAAAATGGTTGATCAATACGAGGTAGAAAAAATGGTTGAGCTAGTACTATGTGGTAGTATATGCTTATACAATTTAAAGATTCATCACTCATTATACAGCTAGAAAATCATGTTCCTGCTTGTGTTCAACCGAATTTTATATCCAATGAGCAATGCTATAAACAATGATTCATGCATCTATATCGTAACCACCAACTATGTTTGCGCATATGCTATGTGTTACATTGAGATGGTGCTTTCAAGGATACTGTTTGATTTGGTGAACCAGAAGCCTGCACCAAATATAAGCGACAGCATGGTGTTCCATTGTCCGGGTGAGTTTCTACTGACCTTGGCAAGTTTCGGAGCTTATTGAACAAATTCAATGGATCGTCCATGAGACCGAAATGTGCATCTGGGTCGCCTATTTGTGAAAGGTTAACATGAGAAAATCCTATAGATGGCAGGAGATGATCAGGCCAATCACTATAGAAATGGAAGGTAGAACTCGAGAGTTTCGTTGATGCTTTATTCATGAAGTCTGCTAAGAGAACTGTATGGGTGAGGGTACACTTTTCGCCTACGATCTTCAGTACTTGCATAGCTTGAGAATTTGAGAGGTAGTAGATGATACCTTCTAGAACCCATACTGTATTCTTTTCCGGCACAAACCCGGAGATCTGTAGCTTTTCGAACCAGTCAGTCTCTCTAATATCAGCTGCTACTCTTCTTAAGGACTTTGCCATCAACTGAAGATGTTCGGTGGAATCCAGAGCCTCCTCAAGAAGAGCAGCTTTCACTTGCAGGACTTCGGGGAAGTCTACTTCAAACACATCACTTTCCTTCAAGCAGCTTAAACGATATGCCCTAGAGTCCATTCCTGCAAATGATGATCATACATTCTTATTGTAAAACATGACCAGTGGTTTAGAATTGTAATGTGTTCTACTCTTTTAATTTCCCTCTTCGTTAATTGGGAGCTTGTTCTGTTCTTCAGAATTGGGAAAAACTTGTCTGCTCCGGATGCAAGCCTACACCAGGTACATATTTCCAGTTTTTCATAGACTAAAATTAAACCGATAATCGTCTTGAAATTCGTTAAATTTTTAGTCATTAGTCTTGATGGTTGAGCAACCTAGTTCAGTAACTATCAATGTGACAGCAGGGTATAAAGGGATCACTGCCTTCTATAAACCAAGGCTATGAATCATTGGAGCTTATAACATGAATGCTGTAAGTATTGCAGAGTAAACATAGGGTAGAGTTCGAGTTATTACTGACCTGCACCAAGGAGAACAACTTGAGCTGCACCACCCAAGGAATCAAGAACAGCTTCAATCTTTGAATCAAACCAAAGGGTTCGAACAGCCAGGATCACTCCCGAAATTTCCCGAGCATTGTTGTGGCGATCTTTCTTGATCTTCTCATGAAGGTTTCTTAGGTATGTTTCTCCAGCAAGCACATGTGCAAGAGGGTCATGAATAACATCCTTCCACAGGGCTCTTCCGGCTGCCGTTTGGCATGCCGACTTCTTTAGGAAATCCCACTCATTCACAATCTTGGCATAGAGTTCTCGAGCTGTTTCCGTAAACAACAAGTGTGGGAGCTTTAGCTCGGGTTCATGGTCTTCGGGGAAGGCATTTCCTTGTTCAGAACGGTCCATACCAAAGAATAGGGGGAGTGGAGGAGATAATGCATGAAATATATATTAATAACAAAAAGGATCTTGGGAGAACCAAGAAGTGTTGGTGCAGGGGATAAGAAAAGAGAGCCACACATAAAAACTAACGTATAAGAAAATTGTTAAATCATACTAATATCTGGGGCTGCCTGCCTTGATTAAAAAGAAGGGAAGGAGTAGTCCACGACAGTGGCGAATGTACATGGTGTTGGTTATATATATAATTATGCAAACAAATATAATTAATTTTATTTGAATTTTAAATTTTAAATTAATTCAAATTCAATTGTTGAGATCATGGGAGTAGTTGAGAGTTTTTTTACTGATTTTTATCTTTATATTTTTACCTAAATACCCTTGATTTTTAGCTATGAAAGAAGGCTCTCTCCTTCATTTTCAACTCACTCATTTCTTTATTATCCTCTCTTATTCTATATTTTCTCTATTCACAAGCTTAGTGAAGTTTTTCCTTTTCGATGGCTTTTGATTTTTTTTATTCCAGTCGTATTTACTCAAGATAAAATAGTTTCCTTTCTTCCAAAAAGAGAAACACTATTCAGAGTTTTACTCCCTTATTTCGGATGTATGAAATTTAGAATATTATGTTAATCTTGGAGGAAACGTTCATTTTCGAGATTACACCAATTCGATTGAAATTGTTTCTAAGGCAGTGATTACGCAGCACAATGACTATATCATCTTTATTTTATTTATTATTTATGTTAGTCAATGCTAACATCTCATTTTGCAATAGCATCTTTTTACTAACAATTTAGAAGCAATTTATTACTACTGTCAAAAACGAACAAAGATATCACTGAACCAGGTTTTGACGAATTGGACTCTAAGCAACACAGGAAAAATAAAGGATGTTTATGACAATCGAAGAACAACTTAAGAAGAGCGTTTTGCAGCGTTGAATTGCAAACCATGATAGTGACGTTATTTGAGGATTGACTGCTAATTATTAGCATGAATTTGTTGGTTTTGAGGAATTTTAGGTTTATAAATCTTTTGAGTGTTTCATGCGATGGCCTTGGATGAAATATGGATTCAATATGGATTCAGGCGTCTTTAAAAGAGGAGAGAATATCATGCTCATGCCATCTATATTTAAAGGTCATTTATTTTAGTCCTTTATTTTTAATTTGTTTTCTTTTAAATCATGCCTGATAAATTCAATTCTCCCTTTCATCCAAAATTGATGATTAATGTTAAGAATCTTATTTTGTGATTTTCGAGAAGACGAATCTTCTGAAGAAGGTCATAAAAGGGACTTGAAAAGTCACCTAGAAACTTTGAGGCTAAGATTTTGAGAAAAATAATTAGGAGCGAGATCAAAAGAAATTGCATCACAAGTAGAATTTAAAAATTAAATTTTGAAGTATTGCATATCTGGATTCATGAGCAATAACACAATTTGATGAGAATAAAGGAATAAAGAATTAACAGATTTCAAAGAGATGGTAACTCAAAAAGATAAATGTCGCGGTAAAGTATAGAATCACTCTGATTGAAGTTGATAAGAAGCGAACATGAGCTAAAGGCGTGTTAAGGGTAAATAAGTGTGCTCGGTTGTTATATTTTAACCTACGAGGTCAGATTATTTAGACTTATTACCTTTTATCTATGTTAGTTGCCGTATGAAAATTGTTCATTCCTAATTATTGTATGCTTATGGATAAGAAAATATTAAGCATAGATTGTTATAAGATCTTTATATATGCTTAATTGAAATGTAGTATTATAGAATGAGAGTGCATGTCTAGGATTAGTTCTGGTAAAGACTTGATATTTAAGTGTGCCTAGTGCGCTACCTCTTTTTTTTTTGAGACCTACCTGGTGTACTATTCGTTTTTATGCTTAGTATTTCAAATCATAAAACACTATGATAAATTTACACTTTGTTTCTGAGAGAAAATGTTAAAAAAGTGAATTATGATAATCTTATTAAGATAAGACTTTTTGTCATAGTAGTTGAACTGTCAAACGGTCTATTTAAGGTCAATGTTTGACTAATGTGTATGAATAAGTGATAGACAATAATGTTACTAAAAACATTTGTAGCTATTAAATTTCTATTATCATACTCCTAGAATTGAGGAAGGAGAAGAAATTATCTATCTATAATATTCCTGATTATTGATTCATGTTTGAAGAATTAGTAAAAAGAAAAGACTAAAATTTCATTTTAAGAGAGTCACAAATGATATTTTTTTAAGGTTTTTTATAATTTGAAGACATTCATACTAATTATGTTCAGATTTTGAAAAATATAGATACGTGTAAACAATGTTATTATGATTTTATGTTTAAAATATAGTGTGAATTTACTCTAATTTATTTGACTAAAAATTGAAAGAGGATATTGTTTACATGTCTTGATATTATTAATTTAGATACCTTGAGGATAGAGAATGTGGGGCTAATTAGATATTCTTTACCCTATAAATATCTTTATATGTGGGGAGTCTAAAATGAATTATTTATTTAATGTATTGTGTTATGAAGTATATACATTCATAATTTATATGTATGAGTATGATACTTTAAATTGCATGAAACTAAGAGAATTTTAATCCTCTTAGAAATTATGGATGATATATGTGAAATCTTAATGTTAAAGATCACTAAAACTAATAAAAAAGGGCATTATTTGAGTATATGTCTTTTTACATAAGAAAAGTTTTAGTATTAAGATGATTCCTGAAATAATTCTCTTAGCATAAAATTTATAGAGTTAATGAAAATAATGTTTGAATGTTAAAACATTTTGAGAGTTTTTATACTTGACCTGGCATCCATAATATACCCACAATCCAATATTGGATATTGAAAGAAATCTTAAGCATTTTTTGGGAAATTAAAGTTTATAGTGACTTGTTAATTATAGTTTATTGAAAAATATCCTATACTCTTAAAAAGGATATTATGATTATGTAACTGACAATGCATCGATAAACTTCTTTTAGTGAGTATGTATTTATCTTGAGTAGGGCAGCTTTTGTGAAAACTTGTGAATTTTTTATTTTTGTTATTATGATTATTTTTAATAGCTCTATTGTGAAATATGAGATGCTAAGTCAAGACTTAGCAAGGCAAGATGTTGAATGCCTTGACAATCCTTTAAAGATAGATTTTTTTTATCTTTTTACGTGATTCGTATAAGTGATTTATAAATCAAGCGTACAATGAATAGAGAATGCATAAGTCTGTAAAGAAAAATGATAGTACATTGAGGTACAAGAGGATGGAAGATAATTTATATTAATCTCTTAACTTAAGAGGATAAATGAAAAGTGATTCAAGATTTGTCGGGGTGATAGGTTTTAAGCACATTTGGTAGAGGAATTCATGTTGGACACCCAACTTAGACTTCTAAGTTCAATGTAGTAAAACGAAGCCATGGAAAGACTCATAGTGTACATTCTTACATATCCCTATAGTAAATAAATGTACATGCATAAGGACGAGCTTTTGCTCTTAATGGATTTATAGCCCTTTTTGGTTGGTCTTAGTGAGAAGGACTTGATGAATCCACTAACGTGAAAGAATGAGCTTTACACTCTCAATGAATTCATAGCCCATGATTTGGGTGGTTCGAGTGAGACAGACTTGATGAATTCACTGGCTTGAGATGTTGAGTTTTA